GATGGTTCCGTCACTGGTGGTCGTGCAGTGGTGCTGTGGAGGAATTTAAAAAATACATTTGTTTTTCGTTCTCACGTATCTCATACTATATTTAATCTCAAATAAATTTTTTTTTATTGTACTCACAAATGAAAGGGCTTGTTTTTTAAAGTGCGCTTGTGTGTATTCTTCTACTTCTTACAGACACAATAGGACATGTGTGCATACTTGATAAATTTAGACGAGGAGAGGAGTGGGTTATAGTGTCCGAGCAAGACTTGTGTAGGGTTCTAATCACTTTGGGAGGTGAGTGCAGGGACTGGCACGCTGGTGCTGCAGAATCAGGAGTTTAACAAATGCTTCATGACAATTCCCGCCCAATGGATGTGATTGTATATACAGATGGCTCTGTGTTAAGGGGCAGACGAAGTGCATGGGGGTTCATTGCAAAGGCGAATGATCGTCGCTTGGTGCAACAAAACCTGGCATATGATATGACAACGTCTAGTTTGTGAACGGAGGTGGAGGCAGTCACTGCTGCCTTCCTTTGGCTTGAGAATCAGATGTACACACATGCCGTCATTTTAACTGACTCACAGAGCATGCTGAGAAATGTGGAGACAGGTACACAGTGACAAGCATCATTTCAAAGGTCCCGGATAGTTAGCATCCTTTTAATATTTTCTCCAGGTCGTGCCGGTTTGTTGGAAAATAAGCAGGCGGATAGACTCGCCTGTTCTACACCACTGATGGTGAACTGATGTATGACAAGCTGGATGTTGTGAGGGCCCTTTGGGAGCGAGTGAACAGTGCCGAAGCACAGACAGATTATTACGGTCTGAGGAGAATGGCACTGCGAGGAGTTACAAGGGAATCTGGCTGACGCTCGATACTCAGGGAGAAGACGAGACAGATATACAATCAGACAATTACTGGTACCACTGGAATTGTAACTCTTCGCTTGCTGCTGAAGAGGGGGACGGAGCGCTTATGGGGGTGTCCCGTGTACTGTGAGGTCTATTTTTAATTCATCACTCAACATTCTTTTTCGTCTTATCAATATTTACACATTTGCAATAGCACAAGCGACTAACAATTAAATAATAATTCTTTTCAAATGCTTTTTAAATTAAATGCTTAAATTATTGAGGCTATTGACAGAATGTAGCTTAAGTTAACGACGCACATACTGTGTTGAACACACTCTCCACTTTCTCATACATAAACTTTCAATGTGTATTGCGAACTACATTTATTATATTTATAGTAACTTTAAATATATTCAACGCTACAGTCAGATAACGGTTATGGCTGTTTTCCAACATTTTTTTTTAACAACTGAATGAAAGAGAACAAAAATGTACACTACAATAAATCGAGAGATACTAGAACATGTAAAAAAAAATTACTGTGAATAAGTGCCTTTAATGCCATCGATCTTATTTCATTGTTTTTTTTTTTTTTCACGTTAGTCTACGGTTTCGCTGTCTGAGCTGCTGAGATTAGTGCTTGGTTGCAGCCCTGGGAGCTGTGTTTTTCATATGGAATGCCATTTGCGCAGCTGTTGTGTCGTTTTGTTCAAGGTGGCCGGTGGCAGGTTTACGTGTGAGCTGGTGACATACCTTATGTAAGCATTCTACGTGTGTGTATAGTAACCAACTTATCGTGCCCGACTACTTCCATCAACGACAACTGCATTTCTGGCAGTGATTGTTGGCTTTGCCGCCTCGAGCAACTCAAATAAGCATTTACTGCGTACACATATTTCTGGATTGCTCCGGAACTAGTTGTTTATTCACCAGTTTTTTATATGCAACAGTGAGGGACATTTCATTTTATTCGCACCTTGTATTAGCTTGATTTTAGTCAAATTTCTCTGGAATTCCCCGTATCAGCTTGACTTTTAGTCAAATTTCTCTGGAATTCCTTGTATTAGCTTGACTTCTGCTTCCCCATTTTGTTGAGCTTTTTAGTCATATTTCTCTGGAATTCCTTGTATTAGCTTCACTGCAGTCGCACCCATATTTTCACAGGAACGGAGCAAAGGATGGGGAAATTCGATTCGGCGACGTTAAAACCTCGACTAAATAATAACGATCTCATTTCTTCCTGGCTCCCTTTTTTTACGTCAGCTCCTTGTTTAGATGTAATATACGTGATGGTGACAGGTGTTGTTGCATTCTATCTAGATGGCGAAACAGTTTGAACGTCTGTTTCTCTGTGAATTTGAAATAAAGTGTAGTTCGCACAATCTGTGCGAGAAACCACATTTAAGCTGTGTTGTTATAACGTCACATATAACGTCACATAAGGCTAGCAGTTTAGCCCTTCATAACGTTATATCCTGCACAATTCTTTCGATGTCATGAATGGAATCAAAGTCCAGCACCTTTGGTCTCCCTCACTAATCGTGTTGGGGTTTCTCTTGAACGCCCTCGTTTATTCACTACATTTGTGTCCCATTTTAGTGTTTGTTTGGTGATTCTCTTGAACGCCCTCGTTTATTCACTACATTTGTGTCCCATTTTAGTGTTTGTTTAGTGATTCTCTGCATCTCTTCAGTTATTTGGCTTTGTTACCCAACAGCCGTTGAAACAAGCAGTTACCCATACATTTCTCTTATTTCTTCGCCTTTCTTGAAATCGACTCATTTAATGACAATCAAATTCTATAGGCGTTTTTTTTTTCCCCCTTCTAACGCGTGCAACTTTCATTCCATAGTGTCTCTTCAGCTTTCTCTAGCATCTGCTACCTTGTCATCATCATCGTCATGTGCCCTGCCAACTGGCGTTCGTGCGTCCCCACAGATCACGACCCCTGGTTGTCTGGAACAGCTCTCTTGATGATATCCCTCCATGCCATCGTTTCAGCCCCTCCAGCATCATCTCTCATGGTCTGCCTCTACCCCTCTTTCCACCGATCTTTCCAGCTGTCGCGATGTTCTCCGATGTCTTTTTTTTTCTTCTCATAATATGGCCAAAGAACAGTGCTAACTTGTACTGGCATATATTAATATGATAACTTAGCAGGCATATGGTGTTTGTTCGTGTACTTACGTCTCCATGGTCACCATGCATGTTGTCAAGTAGTCATATTCGCAGTGCTTCCTGTCTGGGTTGAACAGAAGGCCACTTCCGCAGTGAGACTTGTAAGCTGTCTAGAGATCACCATAACAGATGGGTATGGTGTTTAAAACTGGAGACATCGGACGGACGGACGGACGGACGTACAGATAGGCAGAAAGACCGACCGACCGACCGACCGACCGACCGACCGACAGACAGACAGACAGACAAACAGAAAGACAGACAGACAGACAGACAGACAGACAGACAGACAGACAGACAGACAGACAGACAGACAGACAGACAGACAGACAGACAGACAGACAGACAGACAGACAGACAGACAGACAGACAGACAGACAGACAGACAGACAGACAGACAGACAGACAGACAGACAGACAGACAGACAGACAGACAGACAGACAGACAGACAGACAGACAGACAGACAGACAGACAGAGAATACATCGCAAAGTGGATGGGGAGAGAAACAGACAGTCATGGCAGACAGGCAGGCACGCAGGCTGACAAACAAACGTTCTGGTATTGAACGGTTTCAAAGCAGTGAAATATCAGTGGAAGTGATGTAAAACAATGCTCATGGCATACACTTTATAGGACTTCGCAGAACCAGCTTAGCATTTTTGGAGGGGGAAGGGTGGGGGGCTGCTTCTCAATACTAGACTATTTTACTTTCAGTAGTTTGCCTTGCCAACTAAACGGTCGGTGCCCAATATCATTGTCGAAATCAACACAAAGCGGTCTGATGCCTTACTGATACAGTCACTTGACTGATTAACTGATACAGTGATACTGGAATCGAACTAACTGATACAGTGATACTGGAATAGAACTGGGTATTTTTGGAGTTCCCAACGCCTAAGCAACAAACGTCTAGGTGTTGAACACTCCTAGAAAGATGTAAGAGCTTTCAAACATTACAATAAACAGGCGTGGAGTATCAATGGAAGGCAGGTGTAAAATACCACTATCGTAAAGATATGGAGAGAACAAATGTAATAAATATTTACGTTGGCACCTTTCCGTCAAGACAGACATCGTAAACAAGAACATGACAGTATAAATAGGTCTGGAAGAATTGATCAGAGCAGCATTTTCGGACTCAGAACAGCTCACTGTAAACTCAGACCCACGTCATAGGTCTTTCATTTTTAAGGCATTGTGGTGTTGGGGTGTCTGTGAATTACCTACCTCCCGAACAGCAGCTATAAATGCCCTGCACCAATTTTAAAGAAAATATGGGTTGTTTTTCTGCCTTCCCCTTTGACACGCAGCTAAGGTGGGGCTCACAGTGTGCTCATTCCCCGCTACCAGACTGCCTGCTGGTTTCGCTGTGCTCTTCGTGGCTCTAAGCATGACCTAAGCATAAGTAAATGGGGAAACTAAACCGTCTCGTCCTGAGTCCCTGTGCCTTCACAAAAGTTTCCGGTATTCGGGGGTGGGTAGCATTCTTGTTTTCACTCCTAAGACCCGTTCTCACAGGGGGCAGTACAGTGATCGAATAGGTCTCGCTAATTCTGCCATATGTGGTTTCGGTGCATTATTATATAGAAAAAAATCCAGAGCTACTTACATGTTAGGGAGAAAGAAAACAATCTCACCCATAGAAGCGACACTGCACGACAAACTATAGAGTGGCCGTGATGTGCAGGCTCCTATTTGTGACATATTCTGGCAGAAATCAATGGCACAATGTAATCATTGAAACGATGTCAAAGAAGTCATGGAAAATAAAGGTGGCCCATATCACCGATCGAGCCCCGACTGGTCCTTACAAATATGGGCCTAGCACTATATGGTTTATTGCCCTAATGGAGCAAGAGGAGTCCGCTTTTTAATTTACTTACACTAAAAATGACAAGTTATCAAATATCTAAGACTGTGATTTAAAAAAAAATGAATTTAAAAAAAACATACGTTTGCTGGTATATTTACCTCGTTTACACAGATGTAAAAATTGTCGCAGGATTCTGGGTCGGGATAGAAATCGTCAGTTTGATTACTGCAGTCGAAAGTGTTGGACTCCACAATGGCCGGAGTTGCTATGTGAATGACGTATTTGTTGTTTCCATGAAGTTAGAAGGTTAGAAGTTATAAGAACGGCAAGCATAGCTTTGTTAAGTTAGCTGTTTAAATAATTTCGTGTTGGACTAGTAGACCAGTCTTACGAGAGATTCTGTATCACATCTTTTTTTGCTGCTTTCTCAATATCTTACCTCAAACAGGGGTAATCCACAGGTCACGGGACAGTCTAATATTTCAGGGGGTGGTAGACAGGCCGCATGCAGTCGTGGGATCTAGTCTGCATACAGTCGTGGGACCTAGGCTGCATGCAGTAGTGGGACCTAGGCTGGACTCTTTCGTGGGACGTAGGTGGACTTGGGTTAGGGCCAGTTCCAGATGTTTTGTGGTTGTTAAAAGCATCAGAAAGCCGGAAAACCCAGTCTTACCATCCTATCAAATGTTGAACTGTCCTCTGACGTCATCTGGGGGTGGGATATTACGAAAGAACCATTTTTAACAGTGTCAGTGGTCTCAGGCTAAAAAGTCCTTCTTTCTGAAGAATAATGCTCACCTGTATATGATTCCGACCTACAACATCAGTTCTGGATTTAGCCATTTGCTAAATAAACTACAGTTTAACCAGCGACCTCAATACAATCCTATTCGTTGTTTCATAAATGCATATTTCTCTCAACATATTTAAATTACATTTTCTTTTAATAGAGCCTTTTATACGATTTGCAATCTAATTTATGTGATTTCGCAAAAACGTTATTTATTATTTATTTACCTAAAAATGTAAGCGAAAGTATGTTTCCATTTTCCAAATATTTAACAAGCGTGTATATTTCATAGTTTCCTGCAATTAGCTGGTGTAATTTGCAAAGGTATGGTTTTTGCTTTATATAGCTTCGGACACTCATCAAGTATAAATCCGATCCTGTCCACACACTAGGCTGATGTGGTCGCTACGGGCACATCATTCATGAGATAGAACGGGATAACTGGGATTGCGCCGCTGGTCTGTCATCCAGATGGACATTTTGTCATCTCAGAATGAAAAACCTTCAAGTAGCAATCCAGGTGGGAGTGTGGGTAAAAGGAGGGGTGGAGGGGAGGGGTTAGAGACTGCAAGCACGCACTCATCCTTTCAACGATGTTGAGAGAGGCTACAAGTAGTGGGCTGAACACCATACACGAATCGAACGGACTGCCTTTGATAGATCGCAATGGAAGACTATGCTTTGAACCAATGTGATGTACATCATAACGGAGCAGTATGATGACCACACCTGGCCACTCATAGACATCCAACACGAGTGAGGCAAACGAAGCTTAGAGATCCTACAAAACAAGAAATAAGTGGAGATTTAATCAGCTGTGCACAGGAGGGCACTTGCTACTCATGGCAGTCAATTATGTCGTAGGAAAAGGTCATGAACTGCTCACACAAGTGTGGTCATCATAAAAAACATGAAACTGCACAGTCTTCTCAGAAATAAGATTATGTGCAACTCAAAGTCTGGAGTAGAGCAGTGATATATTTTAAAAAGTCACAAAATATTTGTATACGTAACTTCCAATATGGCCTCTGAATGTTATTGTCACCGTTTGTTGTCTTTGTTCTGTGTTTTTGTTATATAAATATTGCAATTAATAATAAAATGGCATTCTTTGCACATTTAGTAATTTGTTAGTTAGCTACTTATCATTCTTTATATATCATCACGTACAATAATAATTTATCTTAATGTGAGTTTCCATGTGTTAATAACCATGTAAAGCAACCATAATTACATGCAGGCAGCTAGAATGTGTAAAATACGACAGATTCCGCTTATCTGCACTGTGTAGGAATGCATCAAAATGAAATTTATTATCGTAAGCTGTAAATACCAATATTGCAACAGAAGGATCTCGACTATAGCAGATTAGGACACTATAAAGCCAAGCAAGCCAGGAAGTACGTTATATGTAAGTTAGACATATTTCCTTTAGATAAAAAATGATACATTGGAATAACAAAAATGAGAAAGTTGTTATCCCCCCCCCCCCCCCCCCTCTTTTTCCTTTCGCGATGGAAATCTGGATGTTTAAAGCCACGTGACTCGAATAATCACATTTCCGATAAAAATGAAACAGAAATAAATCCAGAAACCGGTTCAACAGTATAAAGCCAGTTATATTGGAGCACTCTAAGGTTGCGAAGAAACCTGCTACATTTGGGCTGTATTAGGTATTTTTAACATATAATTCTTCAGTTACAGTATATTTATAAACAGTTCGGTAGACTTCACTTTTTCGGTCTAACAAAACCATTTTAATCACTCTTTTAGTCTTACCGATTTGTTGCCTAAAATAAGGACGATCTGGATCTAACATGGTTCAGATAATACTGAACACTTTGGGGGCAGTGAAACCACATCACTTGCCAGAATGGTAGACTTGGGAATTAAGATCGGCATAGCAAAAAAGGAGACGCACATCAGACACACGAGAAAACTTTTTAATCAACATAGAACTGGTACTATTAGCCATCGGACGTTGTTGGGGTTCATACTGAGGGGAGGATCTGAGCACCCATGGACATGTCCGGAGTGCAATGATGATAACCCTGCTAACTAACTTACTATTCAAAGATATATTGTTTCAGATAATACTAGCACCAACAAAAAGCCACAAGACTTCCATTAATAGTTTTTAAGTGGCTCGATCTATGATAAAGGCATGTCCTGTGACTTACCTGGGGATGGCGAGCTTGTTGGCGGTGCTTCAGTGACATTGCCTTCCCCAGTACTTGGTGGCCTAGGGAAATTACAGACATCTTCATGTTAGCTCTTTCCTTGATGTATGTTTTTTCAAACACCAGGAAGTTTCATTAAAAATACGAAATATTCGGAAACCGAAACAAATGTATTAACATTATCATTAAAAAAACCACTTTGCAGTTAAGCGGCGTCGGGAGGAATCATTTGCGATCCAGTGCACGCTGGCTGACACTGGCTATTGTAATGCCTTGAAGACGTAGAGTGTCCTTAATGTTTTCGATAAATTTTTTACCTTGGCCGTCCTCTTGCTCTTGTAGCCGATGTTCTGAGATGTAGTGCTTGTGATGGTATTTGATCTTGCTGCATTTTAACGAGATGGGCAAACAATTGGATCTGCTGTTTCTCGATGAAAAAATATACTGCAAGGTTTCGTTCCCACAATTTGCCTGATAGTTTCATTATTTATTCGATCTCGGATGCTTAAGTTGGCTGCTTTTCTCAGGCATATTATCTCGCAGGTGGTGATTTTGCGTATATGGGCTTTAGACAGTGTTTATAACTGGCACTTGTAGCCTAATGTATCAAATGTATCAATTTTCATTATCATCATCTTCCACTTTTGTTGTCAAGCACCATAGGTAATAATAGTTTGTGTATAGAGCCTAATGTGTCGCACTGGTTATTACCATAATGCGTGAGAATTACAGAGTAAAATACTTGTAATTTTAGTCAATGACGAAACTCATTTAATATCCTTATAGACAACACATTGTTAATATCCCAGTTAAATGTAATGTAAGCAACCGTCAGTCCCTGGGGACTATGGAGTTGTTCCGCTGGTATGGGGACAGCGTCTACTATGACTGTAAAGTCCAATACTGGAGTGACTCTCTGTTACACTGTCTATATAAAAGTTAATACTACATTATTCTGAAGCTCGCTTTCTCTCAGACGTCTCCTTTCTAAAGTTATAACAGTTATCATTATAACATAACCTTTGACCCATTAGGATCGTGGAGGTGTATTGATGGAAGCACTAGCACATAAAACCCGTCATCTTTCTCTGTTTTCCGCTTGATGAATAAGTGTATGATAACTTAGTCCTGTCTATTTGTTGATGTTGTCATCCCATGTTCTTCTTGCCCTGTTCCTCTTCGACTACCCTCCAGTGTTTCCTGAAGTACAGTCTTTAAAACCAAATCATGCCTCACCACCTACCCAAGCCAAGCTAGCTTGTGACGTTTCACCACTGCCAAGAGAGGCTCATGATGTCCCGCAAATTTGTGTATTTTGTCTCTAACATATTTATGATCATTATAATAATATCCCCACGTGGGCTCTGGGGCCCTGTTATGGGGAAAACAAGAATAGACCCACTGCCTCTCCAGTAAGCATGTTTTAAGTGTCGACAAATTGGCGGCTTCCTTCGAAGTCGGATTGCATCTGCTGAGAGGCAAGGAACCAACAGTCTGCAAACATATGAGCCAGGTCTGCAAAACGGATGTACACGCAACATTAGGTTCTGGAACAAGACTCAAGTCCAGAGGTGGACGAACAACCAGAACTTTCCGACGGAGTTTACAGCCCGTGAAGGAGAAGAAGAAAAAGGAGATTATAGCAATACACATACAATCTATACAATGTTAAGCAGCCAAAGGTGTAAGCTAGAACAAAAAACATCGATTAACTGGAAGGGGGGGGGGGGTGACACTAATTTCTATATATTTATTACAGTTATAATCCAGAAAGTTTTCCCAGAATACTCTCAGTGTAATCACAATTACGATTACTTCGTCTACCGTCAAGAATACAAAGATGCTAATGTGAGTTAGTTTGGAGAATATGTCTGATCGCTGGATAAACTGCAGGAGAACAATTCTTACCAGGACAGTGCAAGCAAGTCAGTTTAAATATGTCCGTCTCGACAAGAGAAACGATTTTAGCATAAAATCACAAACACAAGATTCTTTTACGTTCATGAGATTTTCTAAGTACGCTTAGTAGCCATTTTCTCATGACACGCTAGCTACTAATTATGAAGACAACAATTTACACACACATCCAACGTTACCTGTAAAAGGGAAGAAAACATAGTAATGCGTCAAAAGTTAAACAGGGAGTGTAAAGAATAACCAACTGACAAGATGATTGGTCAATATTAAGTGCAATCAATCACATACTAAACCCACTGCGGGCTGTGTGGATTTTTATCATGGTATGGGGCGTCGCAGGTCGACCCAGCCTAAAATGGGTACCAGGATGGGCTGTCCTGTGAAAGTAAAGACAGCCGGCGTAATGCTGACCACATTACCCACCGAGTGCTGATAGTCTGTAAAAATATGGGCGCTCTTCCCATATGCCAGATACGCCTAAAGGCGTGGAAAAGGATCTTTACTTTTTTTTACTTTTTTGCAATCATATACTACATAACAGCACAAACCCCACATGCCATGTAGAATGATAAGCAAGAGAGTGTAGTCAGTCATAAACAACAAGTTGACTATGACACATTCTTCTTCTTTTTCTTCTTCTTCTTCTTCTTCTTCTTCTTCTTCTTCTTCTTCTTCTTCTTCTTCTTCTTCTTCTTCTTCTTCTTCTTCTTCTTCTTCTTCTTCTTCTTCTTCTTCTTCTTCTTCTTCTTCTTCTTCTTCTTCTTTCTCTTCTTCCTCTGCTTCTACTACTACTACTACTACTACTACTACTACTACTACTACTACTACTACTACTACTACTACTACTACTACTACTACTACTACTACTTCTACTACTACTACTACTAAACGTTAGTTGCGTATCCTATACAGGACGTTGCAGAACCAACCCCAGCATTTTTTGGCTGTAGTGGTTTTCCTAGGCAAGTTTACGTCCAGTAGTTTGCCAATGCCTCTGGACGGTCGGCTTCTCGATACTACTGTCGAAACCAGCGCAAGGCCTGCAGCTGGGATCGAAACCGGCACCCCGGCAATTACAAAGGCAATTACTACTACTACTACTACTACTACTACTACTACTACTACTACTACTACTACTACTACTACTACTGCTGCTGCTGCTGCTGCTGCTGCTGCTGCTACTACTACTCTTACTACTACTACTACTACTACTACTACTACTGCTGCTGCTACTACTCTTACTACTACTACTGCTACTACTACTACAACTACTACTACTACTACTACTACTAATACTATTTCTTTTGTTCTTCTCCTGCTATTCTTCTTCGCCTGCTGTGATCTTCCCAGATCAGCCATAAAAGCTTTGTTGACAAGTTGTGTCGTGATTTACAGCTAGGCTGCGACATCTTTCGGCCCAACACATCCGATTCCAACAAACCCCTAATTAGTCACCTTGTACAACGTGCTCTATAAGAGACAGTAGGTCTGTTTAAGGTCACGGGGCTCGTGCGAAAAGATAAATGACGAACAAACATTAAAACAAGATGCCTTGCTATAGGCTTAAACTGTTCTTGTTAGTTGTCTCAAACATACAGTTACATCAGAAACTCTACCTACGGGGGACAGTTCTCCAGGGATGGATTCTCCATCTCGTTGATGGCAGCTGTTATGAGCGGATAGGTCCCTTGTTTGCATGTTTGACCTAAGAAATCATCCAGGTCGAGTGCCCAGAACATGACTCCTCCATACCCGTGCTCTTTGGTGTAACACGCCTGTCAATGTAGACATTATTATCAACATCAGACATTGAAGTGCACAGAAAACTACACATAATGGGATACTATAATCATCATACAGCAGGTCCTTTGCAGATGGTCGCTCTCATCACAGCCTGCCTGAAAGAAACCCGATCTCTCTCACTAGATTCCCCACTTTGTGCACTTTCCTACCCAACGTGTTACTTATATCCTGTGCCCAACTTTGTGCTGGTCGACCCCTGCCCCTCTTTCCATGTTCCATGCTTTCAGCAATCATTCTTTCCAATCGGCCGTGGCCCTTGATATGGTCCAAATATTGCAGTTTCTGAGACCAGATGCTGTTTACCAGCCAATCTTTGTTGGTGTTAAGGTCTTTTAGGATGTCGGTATTACTTTTCTGAATCTGATACCCAGCCTAATATTAATACACTAACAACACAACGACGGGGTGCCTCGGTGGCGCAGTAG